CGTCCAACCAATACGTTTTATCCCTGAAGATAGGAGCTGGAATGTTTGCCGAATGTTGGACAACTCATACTTGAAAGCCGAAGGTGTAGACGACGTCAGTCGCGGGAAACCCAAGGCCAAGGATTTGAGAGGTGATGATTATGTTGTACAATATGGCGTATCACCGCATTTGCTCACCAATATCCATCCACCACTGGCGATGACTGTTGTAATTGCTAACAGCCGCGAGGGCGAGCGGCAGTTTTGGGGGTTGCGAACTATTGTGACTGAATTCCACCCCCTGAGGAGGGTCTGACAGGGGCCCACAGCTGGCCCTAGAGCGCGGCTATTGTTGTTAGGGCGAAATCATCAATTTTCAGGCACGATATGTCAATAATATGTATTATCCAAATCTCTCTCTCTCTCGTGTTTTTGTTAAGGTTTAAGCAGTTGCTTTATTTGCTGTTCGTTCTGGTAATGCATCTGAAGAGACTACGCACAACGAAAATACCCCTCGATACCCTTATTTTCATGTAAATGATGGAATCCTTCCGCAGGGCTTGACGTGATAGTCGCGATAAATCGAGAATGCAATAATAACAGCGAATTGGCCTTGAAGATGGCAGCAGAATCGGTCTTTGTTCTCCGTATCCACTGACTGTGAATAAGCCCGCCTCAAAAAACGCCAAATTCCGTCTCAGTCCCAACACATCAGGACCATTAATTCAACAAAGTAATCCCCTTTCCTGATAAGCCACGGCTGATAAAACTGCTACTTCCGTCTTTTATCTGGTCGACCCTGGCACCCTCTGGCTTCCGGTTTTTACCAACGCAGGGTCTATTAGAATGTGGTGTTAACATTACTTTTAGAGCTGCAGTGTAGTAAATGTCGAGGCCCCCTGTGTGTGGTTTTGTAACAACTTACACAAAACAGAGAATATCATATTCTGAAACGCATAATTAATTAACTAATTCAAGTAGTGATCATTCATAAGTTAGGTTGCGTTGTTTTGGGTTAGCTTGGGTTAGGTTAGGTTAGGTTAGGTTAAGTTAGATTAGATTAGGTTAGGTTTCCTAGGTCAGGTTCGATAGGGTTGGGTTGTTTTATGACGGGATGGGTTGTGTACTGGAGAATTTCTGGAAAAGTCCTAGGTTAGTACCGGAGAAGTTCTTTTGAGGATTTACGTAAACATTTTAGCCAGTGAAATGCTGGAGAATTCCTGGAGAAGTGCTGGAGAATTTTTGGAAAAATTCTGGATAAGTCCTAGGTTGGTGCCGGAGAAGACCTTTTTAGGTTTTACGTAAATATTTGAGTCATAATGAGGGGCTGGAGAATTCCTGCAGAAGTGCTGGAGAATTTTTGGATAAGCCCTGGAAAGGTTCTGTAGAAGGCCTTAGGCGGTGGGTTTGATCCTGTGTTGTCGGTTTGGTAGTATTAATTGATGTTAGATTGGTATTAGTTAATTTGGTGTTTCAGTGCCTAATGAAATCGTGTTTCGAAATTACTCTTGTGTTTAAAGGCATTTGAGTCTGGCCTACAATAACAACCCGTCAGCTGTTTCTGAAGCACCGACGCTCCATTCTGTGGGTTTTGCTTTGTTGTGCTTTCAGGGATTCACAAAGGCAGAATTATTTCTGTTAAGGGCTATCGATTATACAGGAACAAATACTTTGCTACTTGTTTTAACGCGTGTACATTTCAGTAATTCTTTACGCTCGTGTTCTTACGAGACGTAAACTTATCCTCTTCACGCGAAAGGAGCGACGCCATTTTGACGTATGGAGGAGTGGAGGTATAGCTCCACTCATTTATAAGCTGTGAGTGCGCGGTCAGATGCATGCTTCGGCCGCTTTAGCCACAGAGAAAGAGTCCCGTGTTTGCAGCGAGAACAGCGTGTCCGTAAAAATAGTCTGGTACTTCGACAACTGCGTCTTTTATGCATTTTCTTTCTGTCGTGGAATGAGCGCAGGAAAACGCAATTAACACGGTTTGGACTCACAGTTTTTGAACTCGGAGGGCAGAAATGTACGCGTGAAGAATCAGAGAAATTTGAGACTGTAATTGAACAGTGATATAAAAGCTAATTTTCATGTCCAAAGTCAGAAATTTTAGTGTTAACCTGGAGCGTGCCTACCGCAGTCGCCGATACCATTGCTGTTTCTTTAAAGCAGTGCTTTGAGTAAGACCTCGGTGAGCTTGGTTTAGGGTCGCGAAATGGTGCTGAATATTGGAACAGCGTGACATATCTCTTGTGAGAGTACAGCACTCGCGCGTGTTGTCATATGCTGTTCGTTTACCGACACAGTGTATGAGCAAACAGCTGTAATGTCGAATTATTCATGACTGCAGTCGCATTAGCTACCGGAGCGTATACGACACGGCGTTGCAACTTGGCTCTCGGTTATTTGAGAGTTCGACTGAATATAACTGAGCTGCAGGTTGCCTCGTCTCAAGGAGCATCTGGAACCTATTCATGAACGTTACCTTCCTAGTTCAGTCCCACACGCTGTTCACGATTGTCAAAGATTTCATTATAAGCCTGCTAGTAAACGAGACTTATGCGGAATTTTGTACACAAGTTTCTAGTCCGGAAAGGAGGCCAAGAACATTAATAATTCGTTTCTGCGATTCAGTTT